ACTGGAGTTACAGGTGGTTGTGAGTCAACATGTGGGTGCTGGGAAGTAAACTTCTGGAAGAACAGCCAGTGCTCTGAACCTCTGAGCCATCTCTCCAAACCATTTTTTTTTCCTTTTTCAAACCTAATTGTTTAAAATTTTGATAGTAATATTGTTTTTTGTTTGTTTGCTTCTTTGTTTGAGACAAGATCTCATGTAGTCCGGGCTAGTTTTAAACTCATTATTCAGCTGACCTCGGACATCTTGATTCTCCTGCCTCAGCCACTTGAGTGCTGGGATCACAAGTATGTACCATTATGCCTGGCTAATTAATAGTAATTGTTGTTATAAAATGCAATTTCCAGTTCTCCCTAGTGAATTGCTAAGTATCTCCTTCAGTTCCATTCTGCTCTCCTAAGCCGTCAGTGCTGTTAGCTCAGTCTTCACACTCACTTTGCCGGAAGTGTGCAAACACGCACAGCTGGGGGCCTTCACGCTCACTTTGCCGGAAGTGTGCAAACACGCACAGCTGGGGGCCCTCACGCTCACTTTGCCGGAAGTGTGCAAACACGCACAGCTGGGGGTCCTCACTCTCACTTTGCCAGAAGTGTGCAAACACGCACAGCTGAGGCAGAGGGCTCCTCACTTCCTTGCGGCACGGGGTCACGTCGTGCTTTAAGGAAATGGAGTTGATCTGGTTTGCGTAGGGAAGAGTTTCTGTGGAACTGCCCTTAAACTTGTCTTTGGAGCGTGTCTGCTACCCAATTGGGCCTCCCTGAAAACCAGGGTAGACAACTAAGTACCTACTGTGTATAGAACAAAGACTTAGATTTTGTGGGTCTCCTGTCCCCATGCCCTGAACCAAGAAGAGCATGGATGCTTAGAACCCTAGTAGCAGGGGAACCCCAACTTGCTCCTATTTTATCCCTCAGCTTCCTCACAGAAGGCCTGGGTGTAGCTTTTATCATTTTACATACAGAAGATTCCAGAGTTCCATAGTTCAAAGATACTTAGTAAACACCATGTGACAAGCACTCATCTGGGTCCTCGAACAACCCTGTTATGGCAGGCTTTGGGTCATCCTTCGTGGACAGGAGGTACAACCCAAGCACACGGCTGTTCAGCCTCTTTTCTGAGGTCACCCAGTCAGTCAGTCATCAGTAAACCTGCGATTTTTGTTCGTTTGTTTTTGTTTGGAAATAGGATATTATTCTGTAGTCCAGGCTGGTCTCCAATTTAGGATAGCTCAGCCTATACATAGGGAATTCGGGTATGTACCGCCAGCCTTGACTTGACCCTAGGTCGTCTGGTTCCGTTCACACAGTGCCGTGGTGGGGCTCTGAGGTTTTGTGGTCCATGCTGTCTTCCTTCTTAAAAATCCACTCACCCTGAACAGGGTCTCATGAAGTCCAGGCAGCACACAAAAACTTTTTTTTTTTTTTTTTTTTTTTTTTTAGTAAAGGGTTCTCTCAAACTCCTGATCCTCCCAGCTTCATCTTCCAAATGCTGGGATTACAGGGGTATGCAGCCATGCTTGGCAGTTTTGTGCTTCTGAGATCATGTCAATTATATTCCGTGATGGCCTCATTCTAAATTCCAGGAGTCTGAGATTCCTTGGGGGTGGGTGGGAGATAGCATTTATTCAAATCCCATGCTTACCTGTGCTGTTCTCGGTACACCCCAGACAAGGAGAGCAGTGGTACCACCTTCGTCAGGCTTTGAACCAGCGGCTGCTGAAGCCCGCCGAGGCTGCACTCTACACAGATGCTTTCAATGAGGTGATTGGTGACTTTATAACCCGACTGGACCAGGTGCGGGCAGAGAGTGCCTCCGGGGACCAGGTGCCAGACGTTGCTCACCTCCTCTACAACTTGGCCTTGGAAGGTACCTTTGCTGGGAGAGGCTGGGAGCAGGAATAGGGGTTAATGAGAACCTTGGATTCTCAGGCCTCTAGCTCTGCCTGCTGTGACAGCCTCTGTACTTCTCAGCCATCTGCTACGTCCTGTTTGAGAAAAGGGTCGGCTGCCTGGAGCCCACCATCCCCGAGGACACTGCCACCTTCATCAGATCTGTTGGGCTCATGTTCCAGAACTCAGTCTATGTCACTTTCCTTCCCAAGTGGACTCGTCCTTTTTTGCCCTTTTGGAAGCGATACGTGACTGGCTGGGATAACATTTTTTCCTTTGGTGAGCTGTCCTAATCTGGGGCCAGGGAAGGAAGCTGGCTTCTCCCAGAACTTCCTTCACACTCCCTGCCTTTAGGGTGGTTTAAACTCACTCTCTGTTCTCCATGGCCTCTGAAGGGAAGAAGCTGATTGATCAGAAAGTTAAGGAGGTAGAAGCCCAGCTACAGGCAGCTGGGCCAGATGGCATCCAGGTATCCGGCTACCTGCACTTCCTGCTGTCCAGTGAATTGCTCAGTCCTCAGGAGGCTATCGGCACCTTTCCTGAGCTGCTCCTGGCTGGCGTGGACACGGTACTTAGGAAGACTGACAGGGAAACCAGGGACTCCCTGATTTTATCCTGTACTGGTCCCACCCCATCTCCCGACACTCTGGCCTTTTTGTAAGGGGAATTCCATCAGTGTTTGGGCCTCTGGGTCTTTTTCTTTGTGTCTCTCTCTGTGTCTCTGTGTCTGAGTCTATGTCTGTCTGTCTGTCTGTCTGCCATCTGTCTATGACAGCTGGGAGATTCCCTCCCACAGGATTCCGATTCTCTTGCTGCAGTTTAGATGGAGAATTGGAGACTTGTCCATAAGCACCCTCTGTACCCAGGGGACTCATTTCTAGCATTTTGGGTTGCATAATCTCTCCTTCTTATCATCCCCTCTGTAGCTGAAGTGCAACCTTCCTCCTTATTGGTCTTTATTCAACCTGTGGATTCTTACTTAGCATAGAGATCCCCAGGAACCCTCATCTCTTTTTCTTGCCATCCTGGTGGCAAGGCAGCTTTCTTGTAGCCACTCACAGACCCTCCCGCCCACCCCCCACCCCCGGCTCAGCTAGCCTCTCACCTAGAAATTGTTCCCTTCCTTCATCTTCCTCTCCCTTCCTATCTCCTAGACATCCAACACACTGACATGGGCCCTGTATCACCTTTCCAAGAACCCAGAGATTCAGGAGGCCTTGCACAAGGAAGTGGTGGGTGTGGTGCCCTTTGGGACGGTGCCCAAGCACAAGGACTTTGTCCACATGCCCCTGCTCAAAGCTGTCATTAAGGAGACCCTGCGGTAGGACATGATTCCACGTGCCTAGGGTCTATACGGGGATTATAATCACGCAGTGATGGGAAGTGGCTAGGGACAAGGGTGATATGGGAAGAAAGTCTGAGCACCAGAAAGCTGGGGATAAGTGGGACACCCTTCACCCAATCTAGAAGCAGAGCCTAGACTTTCCTTTCTCTACAGCCTCTACCCTGTGGTCCCCTCAAACTCCCGTATCATCACGGAAAAGGACATTGAAATCGGTGGCTTCCTTTTCCCCAAGAATGTGAGTTGGCCTGGAGTACCCTGTTGCCCAGGAGCGCCCGTTACCCTTGCTGATGCTCACACTGCCATTCTTCCTCCGTAGACCCAGTTTGTGTTGTGCCACTATGTGGCATCCCGGGATCCCAGTACCTTTTCTGAGCCTGAGAGCTTCCAGCCTGACCGGTGGCTGAGGAATAAAGGAACTGAAAACTCCAAGGTCCAACATCCGTTTGGCTCCGTGCCCTTTGGCTATGGGGTTCGGTCCTGCCTGGGCCGAAGGATTGCAGAACTGGAAATGCAATTGTTGCTCTCAAGGGTGAGCAGGGATGTGGGGAGGGTTGTGTGGCTCAGGTAAGGTGTAGGGATTGAGGGAGTGGAGGGGCAGGGAGGTCCAGGGTAGAAGCCCACAGAGGGAACAGGAATTGGAGATCAAGATTCCAGTGGCCCTGCCCTCTCTCCCTGCTCCAGTGGCCCTGCCCTCTC